TTGAAGAATTACCTGCCGCCGTTAAAAATTCATTTTGATACAGCTGTAGAAGTCATTTTTGTATTTTTTAAGCGGAAAGATATCGTAAGGTGGGTCTAAAATCTAGATGGACAAACTTGACTCACAACAAACCAGATATTGTTGACCTTTTCAGTGGTATTTAAGCTAGCATTTAAACCAATACTCAGTTTGATGTTATTCTAATAAAAATTCTGTACTTCCAATGGGTTTTCTACTTACTTCGGTTTCAATAGATTTAAAGAGACATTTCTAAAAGACTCATTGGTCAGTCATTACAATGGTATCCATAGTTCCATAGTTGCATCATCACGTTGCAATTTTGGAACAATTAATATTAGTAATCCGGTACCGTTTGTAAGGTCATTTCCTAAGGAAACTTCAGATCAGGAGTTATTTGAATATCTTTGTGGTAGGATCTTTTTTTTTTTCATTTAGTCGAATTATGTTCATGCGCCCAAAGAACTGATACATCATTGACGTCTTGATTAGTTCACTCGATAGGTCCTTGACTCTTAAATTTTTCGTGGACAATTTTTGCCTCAGACAAGCCGTTTAGGTTAGTGATGCAGCATTTACAAATACACTGCCAGTATTACCATGGAGTAGACATAGCGCAACCACTCTGCTAAATATAGATATACAGGGTATCGCAATAAGGATGGTAAGCGGCTGTTCTTTGGAAAGTGTATGTTGTAGAGTAATCGAAAAAAAAATGTTTATAACAAACTTGAAGAAAATAATTTGTTGAAAATTATGTTCAAATTTCTCAGATGACCACTAGATGGCGTAATTGCAAACGGTATTTTAAAAAGTCGATTTTATACAGATATTATCCCGATAAGTGAAACATCTAGTAAGTTTAGGCCTAAAGCCGTACTACTTTCCTGATAAACTTGTCAAATAAAGAGTGAGGAGAGAGTCAAACCGCTTAATTCAAAGAAACCTGTAACTCCGAAACGGCTTGACCGATTTCAAAGTTTTTGCTATCAATTGAAAGGGCAATAAAAACTCGACAGTATGTGATATAAAAACAATCTTAATCATTTTCTAAAAGTCCGCTGTTAGAAAAAAATTATTTGTTTAAATTTTTCAGAAAAATTTCAAATGCTACTATCAAGTTATTTTACGCGCATTTGAAAGCACAGGAAGAAATGAACCAAACCGCAAAAACTGCATCTCAAAATAATTTCTGGAACCGATTTAATACTTGAAAATAATAAGGGTTGCCTAATTCAAATAATTAATAGAAATTATCCCTATAAGTGAAACATCTGGTAAGTTTTGGAAATAGCGGAATAAATAAAACAAACCACAAAAATCGCATTTCGAAATTACTTGTTTCTAGAATTTATTTAAATGCATTTTTTTCAACAAAACAGCTGAAATCGATGATCTTAAAAGCGAGAGAAAAAGAAGTGTGAGGTGATCACACAGCCACTTGTTTGGAGCTACAAACTCAAATCCATGTTTTTGTAATTTGTAAACAAATTAATAATTCGAGGTTATGAGTTTTGAAATAGGTTCCGTCATTCAACGATTCCTGTCGAATTGACCGTTTATCCTTGTCTATCTTATTGTCACTTTCTCTATTTATCCATGGTTACCGGAGTTTCGAATAATTACGAAGCAACAGGTATTTACGTAATGTTAATTAACCAAATTACCTTGAAAAACATTGCTGCCGTTTTCCTAATACAGTTTTTTGCAAATTTCTCAGTTTTTAATAACAATTAATTTTTTTTCTATTTTTTCGGTATTTTTTGGTACTCCTAAAACACCGCCAGACAACAACTCCAGAGGAATGACGCCAATTTTAAATCACCCTGTATATGTACTACTTTTTGGTGTCGCGTTTTGTGTTCAAATATGCGAGAAACACAAATTTGGTAAGGTTATGTTAACAGTTTCATAAGAATCTTCTGAAGATCTTCATACTGCCACTCTATTGGGTCAACACGACTTTTATTAAATTTATTGGATATTAAAAGCATTGTAACCAAACCCTTTACCTTCAGCTTTTCTTTCAGTTGACAAATATGTGTCAATATTACATTTACTAATATTATTTTGTTTTCTTTTTCCATGCCGAATTTTCCATGCAGAGTTCTTTAATTTTATTATTTATGTAACGTTATCGGTACACTTTTCCACACGGCGTTCTAATGCAGCATGATTTTATTACTAATACCCTATCAGACCATTGTCCGTTTTATCAAAAGCTTTTAAAATAATTCCAAAATAAATATCATGACTGATAAAGTCTTTAATCAATTTACCCTGAACGAGATTTATAATAAATGGAAACTGTGCACCGATTAATTTATTTATTATATTGTAACGGAAATGGCCTGGGGTACTCACGTTTGGAATGGGGGATCGAAATTCATGGTATTTCAGTAAATGGGAGCCCCATTTGGGCCCCATTTACTGTCAAACATGACACTGACAAGCGAGAAGTTTCGCACCTGTTCTGGAGATTTCGACCATCTGGGTTACCTGGAGGAAATTATATAAGCGACGAGGAGAACCACACAGGGGGGTGAAGTGACAGCAGCGACAGAGTTCAGAACAGGTTAACCCCGCGAGTCGGAAAAGCGAGTTTTCCGCCTGTTATTGTTATTGTTTGTGAAGTTGACGGTAATTTTGAAGTTAGTTTGTTCCTGTTCCGTAGTTAAAGTTGTACCGAGTGGAATAAAAGTTGGAAGCAGAAGAAAGAGTTTGATACTGGGCCATCTACGGTACAATATGATTTTGTTTTTAAGAACTTGTGATGATACAAAAATAATTATCAAGTTATGAATCAACTACATTTTGAAGCTTGGTTTTGTAACAGTAAAAGTATTAATATGTTTTATTATTTTGGCGTTGCAAATTCAGTTCAGTTTGTTAAGGTATGGCAAATTATTAATAACCCATGCGTCTTGTTTTCTCTAATAAAACTATCATATAATAACTGAGCAAGACGTGGCTTAAAACAAATACGTCCCGTATATTTATGTAATTTTATTACTCGATGCGATTGCCGCTTTTCAAAATAGAAAATCCATAAATTTTATTAACTGGCATAACAGCCGCACGTTAACGTAAGTAGAAGAATTTCAATATTCATGTTTTCGTCTACTTTGTGATTAAAATGCTGCGCTGCTGTAGGTACCTCGCAGCAATCTTCTTCTAAAGATAATTTGGTCATTTCGTATATTTTTGTTTAATAATTCTGATAACCAAAGTTAATCGTTTAGAAATAGTCAGAATGTTTACTTTAACAATAAAGGGCTTGTATCTTGGGCTTTCATAAATGAGGCAGACAAAAGCATATTAAGGAAACCAGATATTCTTAGTATCTGAGGAATCTTAAGACCGATTTCCTCATCAGCCTACAGAACGTTACCAGTAATGTTAAAATGTTTATGTCAAATAAAGTTTTAAAGAAACGAAAACTAATGAGAACGTAAAACATGCGATACCAATCTATTACTTATATCAATGAAATCTGGATTTTCATTGTAAGTGCTATGATAGAAAACATATGTTTTGTACCAGACCAAGTATTTGAGTGAAACTGGTTTTACTGAGCTTTTTTTGCTACCGATAAACAAGGCGTTTCATAATTTGCGATATTCCGTTTGAAGAAGTTATTGCCGTTTACTCGGAGAGTAGGAAATAGTTATTTATTTCGTCCGGAAAATACTGTTTATTTGGCCGTTCATATAAGATAGCAATGTGCCAATAAAAAAAACAGTTTTTTCTCGTGATTCTTAAGCTATTTTGTCAGTAGACATATAAAACTAACAATAAATAAGGCAAACTTTTTAAAATCGTGGTTGAACTGATTTAATTTCGTACTGGCAAATTGTTAAATATATCATTGATCAGCAAAGTGGTGAATTGGTTTATGAACTTGGTTATCAAAACAATTGCAAAATATTCGCTCTATTCTAGCGAGTTGCAAGAGCAATTAACTCTTACTACGCATATAAATGTAATGTGGAAACTATTTAGGCTACTTTTACCCAGAAACTGATTCACAATGTGAACGAACTTTTATAGAGTATTGTCTATATTATTGAACTGTTTTTATCAAAAACTGGTTTCTATTTAATAGAGCTTTCAACGGTTTGGCTCAGTTGAGGTATTCAGATACTGCATGATGAGATTATCAAATATATTAACGTGAACTTAACTTGCTGAAATTTTACTTGCTATTTTCAATTGCACTGCTTTCAAAATAGGTACAAAACTAGTAAAACATACAATTTGCAGATTCAGGTTTTAAATGAAGTTGGAGTTTAAATGATATTTACATTAAACTTAAAACATTCTAAGAGCAATTTACTATATCAGAAATTTGCTCATATTTCTTATTACAGGAATGTTCGTTCATGCGATAAATTATAGAAAACATTTGAAAAATTTATTTAGGTAGCGAGTTAATGCATTGTAATACAGATGATAAATGACCATTTTTGGTACATCATTTACAGTACCTATTGAACAATTGGTGTAATCGCTATTTTGTTTATTCGTTGGATGTAGTGTTTACATACCATTTCTTATTTTTTGTAAAATATAGCGCCTCATGAGCAAAATTGTACCATTCATTCATTCAAAACAATTTTAGCTACTTCGTATTATTGACTTGTTCATCAACCAGCAGATATTTAGGTCATACTAAGAAAGGAAAATTTCTGAACTAAGTATAAAACTTTGCAAATATCTAAGTTCTTAAAATTATATACTAAATTGATATTGTCTTTTTTCATTTTCTTTTCTGAACTGCCTAAGCATGCCCATTTAACCACTATATGGCAACAAAAAAACAACAATTTTAAGGATCATTTCATGAGGATTATTGACACATTCTGCATCATGTTATTTTCATTTCTCATCAATAATTTCCACAAAAAAAATATGAAGACACGTGGTAGGTACCGTCAAAACATATTCGCAGCATTCAATAACATAACGTAAAATTTACTCACAACTTTTGCATAAACAATGATCACTAACATTTTCCACCTATCTTAGATCAGATACTCTTCCAAAAGCCTTAATTTGTCGCCTCAGGTTAACTGCAAGAAAATTGGTCTTCTGATTGTGACATTCAAAATGAACAAATAAAGCGGAAACACTCACCCAGAGAACACATGTGGAAAATATTAACAAACTATTATCTCTGTCTGAATGGCAAACTACTGCCTGTGTCAAATTCTTGAGATATAAATCGAAACCTTCATCAATCAACTTCAGACGAGCACAGGTTTTCCAAGGTTAAAACACGTTAAGAAATAAAATTGTCTTCTTGTTACATCGCAATGTTATCATTCTACTTGCGTACTATATGAAATGCAGGCAAATTAAGTTTTTGTTTCTGACCAAATGCCCGAAGTATAGTTACAGTAATTACTAAAATATAATTTTATTTTCGCAAACATGCAGTGGGACCTTGATGCGGTTAGAAGGTAAAAAATTTACAAAAAAGCGCTCGCATCTGGTCAGAAGCAAACTTCCTTCATGCCATTGTTCCTGATATGAATATTGATGATTATTTATGTAAATTACTGGTGGCAATTAAACAACCATTCTTAGATCAAATATATTCAAATATTTGTATAAGTAAGCTTGAACAAATAGAAATTAAATAAATATATAATTATTGTAACTGGAAAAATTCAGTTTCAATAATTACGAAAAGATCAGGTCTGGTTAAAACAATCTGCTTGATACATTGCTTCTTCCAAAGATTCTGAACAGTTCTCATATATGAAGGTTTTACCTATCTCTAACGGTTTTTGGAAATGTTTGCATTTTATTATAATAAATGACAGATGCAGTCTTGAACGTTGAAATCGAGCGAAAAGGGGTGTAATCTACTTAGGTAATCATGTAACAGGTCCTACATTTATACAGATTGTTCCGTAAAATATGTAAAATTTTCCATATAAAATAACTAATGTATTTCAATATCTAATTCCCCATTTTTATTACACAGGCGTGTTCAGTTTACAAAATAAGTATTACCTTTCATTAACTTGTCATGAAAGAAACGCTTTTTTTTTTCATAAATAAAAGAATTATTATTTTATACTTTTAATAATTATTACATAGTTAATAACTTTCCACATATTACATAGTTAACAGTTTCCTTTCGGTAAAGCATGGGCCACTTAGTAATTATTAGAAAATTGTCTAATCTAAATTTCTAAGCAATGAAATGTATTCTTCTTTTAGAGAAAAAGAAATCTGTTCATTTCAGGTATAGACAAGTTAATGGAAAGTGATAATTATTTACCAAGCTGAACGCCCTTCTGTTAGAAAAACGGAAGTTTATAATTTGAAAAACTTACATTTTTCTAATATTTTTAGGACAAATTTTACGTGTAAGTAACAATATAGTAGTAGTATAGAAAGTGGGACCTGATACATGTTTGCATGTAAATTACACGTTTTTCAATGATTCGACAAATTTCCATTTCAGATTATGGTATCATTTGGGCACTATTAGTAATAACTTTGAGGACTGCATCTGCCATTTATTATAATCAAATGCACATATTTTTAAAATCGTTAGATAGGGATAAAACTTCATACATTAAAACGTATTGAGAATCTTTGGGAAACGTAATTTGTAAAACTTTATTTTTGGTCATGTATATCAGCACATATTCTTGGAACGCACTTCATTCAAGCCCTGTCTGCTAATTTGGGTTCGATTGCTTTGAAAAGATTTTTTTCTTTTTAAGAACTGCGAAATCAAACCTGCGTATTTACTTCAAATTTACGGAAATATCACTCTCCAAATTCCTAGAACTACAGCCGTAAACGTAGTAAATCGGTATGAATGATCGCATTTACGAGTTCATGTTGCCGGATGCCATTCGCTCGAACATTTCTTGTGGCTGCTAGAATAGATATTAAAACTTTAATGTAAATATATGGAAAAGTGCACAAATGCATTGAAATAATTCAAGTTTGGTCGTAAATATTTCCACCTTGTTGCATCCTAAAATAGTACAAAAATAAACTCGAAATTTTATTTTTTATTCAGTAGTGCAATTGCGTGTTCCACATACATTATTTCAGAATCATTTGCATACACAGGACGCTTAAATGTCTCGTTACTCGTCTAGATGTGTTTTCTGGGAATACGTTAGTAGTGCAGAAAAAAATTGTTAAAAATTAATTTCCAAAAGTGACTAGGATATTCGAAAAAAAACTAAATTAGAAATTATGTAACTATGTATTTGACCCCACTTTTTGGATACAGTTATCCGAATCCATAACTTGTGAATTCTATTTAATTACATGCTAATGATGCTCGATAAACTTTCATCTTGATACGCAACTGAGTTTGTAATTGTAAAGAAAAACTTTTACGGTAGTTCGAGCTGAATCCCGTAGCGATACTTGCATATCAATATGGACACTCATTGCATGAGTTTTATCCAAAACCACACCATTCCTCACAAAATTGTTCAAATTCGCTTGATAACCGCTTTTTACAACATCAGCTTTTACTGCTTTCAGAAAAGTTTGAATTTAAAGGAGCGTTCATGTCAGGTTCCGGTGCTTCTTTCTACCGCACTTCCAATTCATTCACACTATTATAATACCTATAATGTAAGTGTTCTAAAATGCTTATGTGGCTTACTTGGGACTTAGCACTAAATATTAATTTTAATGTTCCTACAAGGACGTATAAAACTTTGATGCATCATTGATAATTCCTGGAAAGTGTTATTTATCACAAAACCACAAATTTAAAAACATATTTGAAGATTTTCATATCACGTATATTTTATCGCCTGTAAAAAATACGGAAATGTTAATTCTTCCATCACAAAATATCAATAAATTTGATCCTGTCCTAGGATGTATTGTTAGAAAGTTTAGGAATAGCAACTACCGGTTAAAATATTGGTTAAACTATGTGAAATGACTTAATAATGAATTCCAGGTGAGCATATAACTCATTTAAAAGCATTTTTTGTTCTTATTTTAGCCATAAATCTTCAATCGTCATTTGATTTATCAATTCGCCAATTCTCATGGGCAATTTTGCGAAATGATTTGCATGCAATAAGAGCCAACACTTTAAATCACATGCAAAATTATATTCAGAATTAAATATGACTATATTTCCTTAGTATAAAATATTAATAAGTATTTCCAATGCATTTATGCGTTTATGTGAGTTCTTTTTTCCTCTTTGAAGAAAAAGATTGGATTGAAGTGTATTGAAAATAATCTGTCCACTTGGATTCAGCGCTATACGAAGAAATATCTTACATTTTAAGGCTTCATATACACTGGCTTCAAAAAAAATATTGGTTCAACAGAACGACACTGATTTGTCATGTTAAAAATAAATATATTTTTGATCTTCTTAGATCAGGCGTCTTAGCTTTTCTAAAGTTTATCTAAAGAAACGTCTAAAATTCGTGCTTTAAATCGGCTTAGTATGGTTTTGGTTTAATAGTATTAAAATATTTTTGTATAAATAATCTATTTTTTTTTATTTATTCCTAGGATTTCTTATTTGGTAATAATCTGAAAGGTATTCTGCTAAATATGATGTCAAAGACGAACTTAGCATTTAAACATTGAAAACTTGAATGATCGGCTGATGATTTATTAGTAAAAATGGCCGCGGTCATTGTTTATATTTATACATCCGCAACTAATAATCTAATAATAATAATAATGTCTAATAATAGCTCAAAAAAAAATATTTTTTCTAAAGTGATATTTAATTTAACAGTTGGTAATCCACTGGCATGAGCTAAAGTATTTGAATAATCTCTAACAATGTCGAAAATGCACCAAGTTTACCTTGCTTGATTAAAACTGCTATGCGATAGACATGCTGCCCTGAACAAACAATTTGTTTATTACAATCTAAGTCAAATTCAGTTAGTTGGTCTGAAAAGGGAAATTTTGTAGAAGAAAGTGAACATGTCAACAGCTAAATTGCTGTTAGCCGATGCCATACTGAAAGCAGTGCTCGTCAGCAACCGTTTGCTGCAAAACAAGCACAATAACAGTCACAAAAAGGATTTTAATGTTTTACGAATAGTTTTTTAATTCCTTGATCTTGAAATTTTGTAGGAACTTTGTAACAAATCGCATACAATCTTACTCTCCGTTACCGTACAGTTAAAGATGCACTTTCCACATTTTCAGGTGCATATAAACTGCTCAATAAAATGAAACTTGCACAGCAAACGTTGTCCTAACTTTTAATTGAATAAATGTTGATTTCTTCGAGCGATTTGTTGTTGTGGTAAAAATTAAGTGCCTCAGATAAATAAATGTTCTACGGGGTGGCAAATGACAACATGCAAATTTTGGACAGTACGGCATGCTCCAAGTTCGACAAAAAATATTTGTTTTGATCTAAGCACCAAAGTTTAATGGTTGATCACATAGCTCGAAACCATTTTTGAATTTTTTCGCCATCTCTTCAATATACAGGTTGGTCTCAAGAAATCAACTTTGTGGTCTTGCGGCAATAACTTTTCTGCTCTTGATCCGAGTTCCACGATCTATGGCTCATGCTAATGCTAAAACTAATAAAACTTCATATACCATTTAAGAAAATAATTCTATTCACAGGGCATAAAAATACTCAAATTATAATTAGCCCCGAAGTCTGGGATTCAGGAATGTTTTCAACTAAGTGAAACATTTTGTACACTCATGCAACCCGCTAAATTTCATTTTTTCCTCAATTGGACTTTGAAATTTTAGCTTCAATACTATCCTTAGATTTTCAAGATCGGTTCAAGAGACAACATTTATCACTGCAAGATCAACAAGATGATTTTTTTAAGACTACTCTCTAAATAAACGGGACGGTCGACAAATTCAGAAACTTTTTGCGAGATATGAGGTCTGTCTGAATGCTTGTAGCTTTGAAAGAAGAAAAAAAAGGTTTTTTGTCCAACTTAAAGCATGTCGAATTTTTGCCAATTTTGTTTTGTTTCATTCCACCCTGTAAAAGCTATAATTGCATGCAAAAATACATAACAACTGAAGAATAATTACACTAACTAACGCTTCAAGCAGCCATAAAGTCGCTCGCAGCAATCAGCACTTATCCACTTCCAAAATTGGTCGAAATTTCTCCGTGAAACGTCTATTTTGTTGAGCAGCTTAGCTACCACCCTTGACTCAGTAAAACTAAGTTCACGAGCCTTAAGAGGGCAACAACCCTAACTGCACTCTTAAAGCGTTTTAAAAAAAATACATAGAGATAATTTTCAAACAAATGTATAAATATGATATATAAAAATATACACAGAGAGGTGAAAATGAACTGGTCAATTTAACATAATTCACTGCAACCCAAGTAGGTATAGTAAAAATTTTCCTAATTATGCAAATACTCTGAACTCGCCTTTTTTGCAACAATTCATACATTCGTAAATTTGCAAGATTTAACCTGGAACTCACAACCAACATTTTACAAACATTTATGACGGTTGATTAAGTCGGTGTTCTCAAAGCAGGTATCTAATTCACTATTTGACCTTCACCAGGCGGTGTTTCTAAAAGCATTTTGTCATACCTGTTCAATGCTAGTTTCGGACATTGTACTTGTCTACAAATCAGTTGTCTTCAAACTAGACAATGAGTGCTACTGCTGTTCGCTGAACTTCTTGAAAAACATGTATATGCCAGATTTGCGCCCAGGTGAGAACGAACCTATGCTGCACACGTACGGTTTCTTATTCACTATACTATATCCGGCTATTCATGAATTAAAAAATAGGTATAGGAAAACAAACCATTCTGAGTGGCCACCTTATGGGGGCCAGATGGCGTCAAAAGTGGCCAATGATCGAAACCCACCTCCCAGGACTAGAATGGAAATGTGAACAGGTCCGAATTAACCTTAGGGTAATATATACGAGGGCCGATGTAGAAATTGAAAGTATTCTTTTATTAACTAATGTAACTGTTGTTATAAATACTAGAATCACATTAACTTATTTTCTTTTATTTATACCGACCTTTAACCAACTTCAATCAATTTGTTTTGCTTTAGCATATGTGTACCTGCTTTTTTTTAATTTTTGCTAATAACAACTGGACGGCAAAATGACAAAATTGACAATGTATTATTGAAAACCGGTAGGTATATATTAGAACTGAATAACAGAAACATACTTTTCATGTTGCCCATATATATTATATCCCCGTACGTGCACCCTTCGGCTAGTTTTTGAATAATACGTACACTTCGTAACATTTGGCGAACATTTGTCCGCTCAATTGTATTTCATTGGGGTAATAAAGGTATAGGTTTTAATAATACGTCCTATGGTACCCTCAGGAATAACAAAAGCCATCCTGTCACTTGTTAGTTCAGGTTTACGCGACGATACGACGGCGAAGTTCGACCCATTAGAGACCTTTTGTCTGTATCTACTATTTATCTTAAATTCAAAAGAAACAGATTTCAGCTTCGGTTAAACGCATAATGTGGCATATAATTCGTTTGTATCTGTGAAAAAGATTTTTTTTCAGTGTTTCCGGCTACTTAACACATTTAGGTACCCTAATTGTTACTATGATTTGTATTAACTCGGCTCGTGGTAGAAAACGTAAGTTGTAAATAAAAGCTTTTTAATTTTTTTGAGGGTCCTAAGCACTTGCAGTCCACAAAAATCAGTTTTTAGTTCGAGCAAAAAAATGTGAATTTGATCTGAAGGAAAATGTTACTGAAATGTTATGTTACTGAGAATTTTTGAAAATTTAAAGCATTTAGACATGCTCTATCTGTATTTGAAGCTAGACCAACAGGGTCTTAGGTATAACAATTTAATACACATCGGTTCCATTTTTCCTTTATTTATATTTCAGGCTGGTTGTTTTCGTTTCGTGTTTTAGAAAGTACTGATGTACATTTTCGAATCTTGCGTGTCATAAAAATTGCTGTCTGTTATAAAAAAAATGACGTTAACTGGCATTATTAAAATCATATTCTTTATTAGGTACATTTAAGTTCAAGAGTAAATTACATATTATTTCGAAAAATAGAGAGGTGATATCGATTTATAAAATTTGCTGTTGAAGTTTAAATTTAAATATATTTTGTCTTCTCAAATTGTGCTGCTAAACGAATGCCTTTGATCAAATTTAAATAATAAATTTAATAACAATTAGTGTATTAAATTGTGTAATATCTTTATTGCACTAACTGTAAATTCATTTTATGCAGTGTGTACATAATATTTCATATCATTTTTTAAATTCAATCAATGAAAGTAATGAAAAAATACACGTGTTTTTTGAGCAAGAGCAAGTTGTTTTTTGGTTTTCAAGGACGAAAAATCAATTTGACTCATGTCTGGTTGAGTAAAATTAACTACCACATTGGAAATTCGCATTGAAAGTTGGTTTTCTTCATGGTTATTGATACCCCAAAAATTACAAAAGTTTAATATATTAATCGTACTGCACCTGTTATTTTGCATATGTTATTTTGCACTGTTATTTTGCACACAAAATGAACATGCTATTTTCTTCAATATTTTATCATTCATAATAAAATTAATTCAAAATAAAACTACCTAATTAGGCTATCTGGTAGAACAAAACGATATGATGAACCAAAGCAAACAAACTTGCCTGTGTCCAATGATTACTAAGGATAGATTTACCTGTCTGGGAAAAAATAATATATGTGCGAGCGGGAAGTGGACAGATGTTTTCATGTCCATTCCTGTCGAATGTTCTCCATATTGCAAAAGGAAATTGGAAAAAATCTTTGAAGGAGAAGAAAAACACAACTGATTGAAGAACTTCAAAATAAAATAACGGAGACAGAACTTCATTTATGGCAGAGCCAAAAATTTAATACTTTAAAGAAGAAATACAGAAGAGTTGCAACGACAGCAAAACCTTTGAAGGAGTAATAATGAACCATGAATGAAGTAGACACTATGAACAACTTGTTTGTATGCGTTCACAGGTTCCCTGGTAGTCTGGAATTCAAAACGGTTTATGAAAACTTGCTTGAGAAGATGAAAAAGGAAAATATCTTGTTTTTACAAATGAATACCCAACATATTAATTTTCCGTTATTTATTGATTAACTCATATTGTCAAATACAAGCTAAGCATTTTCCTTACAGTTTTTGGGTTTATTTTGGGTTTGGGAACTTTTTGTTTCCCATAGAAGTTGGCTAAACTAAAAATTAATTTTTCTCAAAAGTAAGTCGGATGATATGTATGGTTTTCCCCGCGGGTATTCAAATGCTTAGAAAACAATTTACCTAACATACTCTTATTTAGATATGTTTTAAAAACCATAGCATGTCTGCTATGGAAAAGTCTGAGAAACTTTTCTAAATTAATTTCATTACTATTTGGAGTTTGTTCTTACTGCTTGAGCTTAACTGTGTCACACGGTACCCGATAGGTTTCTTAACGTTTTGAAAGAATTACTTTTCTGAGACATTTTTCGTTGTTCAATCGAAATTGATACATTAATTAAAAATTAAAGAAATATTTGAAGATTTTCGAACATCTTAGTCCTGTCAGTATAAATAATGTGATTGCAACCGAACACGTCTCCCAATAAATGCAGGTGAACATAGTTAACATTTGAGATGATTTTTTTCAATATTTTAGATTTATCCGATCTCTTGTTAATTAATCTAACACTCTTATCATAATTAGGATAATTTTGAAATGTTGATGGGTATGAGCTGTTTACTTTACATAAGTACCTTCGATAATCATTAGCCGAATTTTATCATAATCATCATCTTCAGCCTTTCTCCGTTCATCTCTGCACACTCTTCTGTCGATCGTTTGACTCAACCGTTGGGTTCCTCCCAGTTACTGGATGTCATCTTTCCACCTAGTTCTTGGTCGTCCTGGGTTCCTTTTACTTGTTCTGGGCCTCCACTCAGTTGTCTCCTGGTCCATCTGTTGTTATCCGAATTTACTATAAATTAATTACAAATGTAGTCACAACTGAATTAAAAAAAAAGCAATATATTTTTTGATAATTTGGCCCACTATGTGGATAAAGTGAATATAATATCTTGACAAAATTTAGTATAATCCCTTTATCAGTGAAAAGAAGCGGACGGACGATTTGCTAATATTTTGCTTGCCCATACAGTACATCTTAGGTACAGTTTTGCATTTTATCTATCAAGAAATAATTCGTCTCATGACCTTACGGTAAAGCTATTTGACACATCGGAATTGAATATGCAGGTGATTAATTGAAAGCTTATTGATTTAGTTTCGTCGTAGTATTTTTCCATTCGATGAAAGATGAGGGTCAATGTGAAACTCAAAAAACGGATATTCAGTATGCAAAAAAACCAAATAAAAACTGCTTTAGTTTCACTGGCTTTCAGAAGAATAAGTGATATGATGGTTTTCAAGCAAAATAGCGACTAAATTTTGCATTCTAACAAACGGTACTTTCTTTTAATGGTGATAATGGAAACTTAGTTAAGTGTGGGCTATATAATCGTTGTACGATACACAATATTGAGTATTAAATTTTTTATTACAAAATTATACCGTCATAATAAAACATTTTTCTCGAAAAAGTCTGAATTCATCACCCACTGTATATCTATATTTGTGTAATATAATTAACGACTATAGCATTAAGGGATTATAGTATATGTATAAGTAAGTTTCATTGCAACGATTTAGTTTGTAGATGTTCATTATTTAATAACAATTAAGAAAAACTGTACCATTCAATTGTACTTTTTGCATCTTCTCATATTAACGCAGATTAAATAAACTTATCGGAGGATACTATCATCCAAAATATCAAGTTGGCGCATTTAAATCATTAAAATTATGAGTGAATTATGATAAAAAATACTATACCGCTTTTAGAGGCTAGATTTGAATGTTAATCTCCATTTTTCATGATTAACTCATCAGTTTTCAATAACGTCTTCTGTACTATTACTAATTATAATAAAGTATTATTACGATCATTATCATTATGATTCGTTAATCAAACTCAATATAATTTGTAGCGAATTCAACATATTCCTACTCAACTCGTGCTTTAAGAAAATAAAAACATAAATGTTTTTGATTTCGCTTATGCAGTTCTCAACAATAATCCTTAATAAAAGCATGATTGGTTGCTGTTGCTTTGGCTACCGGTTGAGTAGTTTTTAGATTTACAAAACCGTTAATAAGATAAGGTAGGTATAATTCGAAAATAGATTTCTCAAAAAGGGCCTTTAAATACACCTATTAATTTTCCATTATAGGTTCTTTTACTGTGTAAACTTTCTTACTAAATGAATAGGTTTGATGGATTCTAGCTCAGTTTTCATTGAGTAACCTGTAGGTACAACCAAAGGTTTTAATAGCTTAGTGCAACTAGCAGGGGTGTAATAATGGTCGCAGATATGTTATCGGTTTAATTTGCATCAGACGTTAAACATGATAGAAGTGTGATTGGATTTAGTTTAGCTGCTGTTTTCAAAACGCAACGTTAGAGAAGTGAAGAGGAAATGGTTTACCAGCCGCCTTTCAATAGTAGAAGTTTTGTCGCATAGCAACAAAAATTAATATTCCACGTAGATGCCGAGAAAATAATGCCTGTTAAGAGTTGAGAAAAAAAAGTTATACTGTACCACATGCTTAATTCAGCTACAATCCACTATTTCAATTTCAATACATTTCATGGCAAAAAGCTATAAAATTGAAATTTCTATTCAATGTTCAGATCAGAAGAAAATATGCTTTATTGCCACAGAAAAATTCAAATACCTTTTATGGTCAAAGCGAATGAAAGATAGGAACATAGACATTAAAAGAGAAAATTAAATATAATGATAAATAAACCACAAAGTTACATAAATCATTTTAAATGAGATATAACAACAATTAAAATAGCCACAAATAGACTTTGGAAATACCATAAAAGATCAAGACAGTTCGTGGAAGACAAGACTAGTTTTTTTAAAAATATACATAACTCAAAAACTAGTAATTCTCTGAACTGCAAAAAATGCATGCTTATTATTATTATAGCACCAAAAAGATTCCAAATTTTCATCTAATTTAAATAATTTATGCGCGAAAAGAAAACAAATAAACAATAACGTGGTAGGAGTGTAGCCCTTCCTCGGTATTTATGTGGTGCTTGGGAAAGTGTCAGTTATTGTGCTCTGAGTGCCCCTGGAAGGCCCTGATTCGATTATGTCCAATACTTGTTCCTCTGTGCCTGGAACCCGAACATCAATCTTCATCTACTATCTTCCTGGAACCACTCTCCTCGCCCTTTGTTGTAGTGGGTTCTTTCGGCTTCTGCTATGTTACTGTAGCATTTCCCCTGAACTAATCGCATATCAGCAAATTTGTGAAAGAAAATTCTAAGTAAGTCACAGTTTGACAAATTATTGTTATTAATGACGAGGGCTATCCACCTGTAACTATCTGTTAATGACAAGAAACATCATTGCCGCTGTGCTTTTTCATCAAAAAATTGTAGAAGAGATCTTTTTTGATATCCGAATTTTTCGTAATTTGAAGCAAAGATCGTAATTTTTCTTTCTGAATGCTTAAGTATTCCAATATGCTACCAATTAAACATGGAACAATTTCAAAATAATGCTTAATAACAAAAGTGAAATTCGATTTTCAACTGTTAATATCTTCCAGAAATTTTCGAAAAATATTTAAATATTTTTCTCGTACTCCCCAAGGGAGCCTTAAAAGGAATGACGCAAATTTTTAATCACCCTGTATAAAGCATCAACATTTGTATAATGATTTCCTAAACAGTGATAATATACCGGTCCATAACGGCAGCATCTATTTAAACCGAAATTTCGTCAATGCAATAGTAGTAATGATTAGATTGTCGCACGAGACTCAGCTAAACGAATCATAACTAGATTAGAATAGCGATCTACCTGCATTTTATAATTGTAAAATGTTTATATTGTGTAAAATTGGTAAAAAATAAAAAGGTGTAATTTTTTATATACCAAATAAGTGAAAATAATGTAAAGAGACTCAATTATTTTTAAAGTTCGTCTCAAAGCTCCAGGCTTAAATCAGAAAGTGCGTTTTACAAACAATAGCATATGGGTAAGTACAAATGTTCGTTTTCCCGTTATAGCAGTTAAAAATATATTAGTATATCTGGTGTCCCGAAATTAGCGTGCATGACATAGTTTCTTTTCAATTCCTGTTAATTTGGCTCACTGTGTTCCCTTTAACACGTGTGTCTGTATTATCATAAAATCTTGGTTTACATCACCATAAAATAACAAAAAAAAAATGTCAGACGTCAAAAATTTTTATTTTTAATAATTTCTAAATCGAATAGAAATTTCAAATATTTAGGTGTAAAATGACAGTGGTCCTCGAAAAGAGAATGGGTGGGTAAAAATGACAATAAACCTTTAAAAAATTAAACCATGCAGATTGCCGTAGCCATTTGAGATCACTAAGAATGTAGTCCCCCAATCAAATAGCTAAAAAGTTTGCTAAAATATTTGATATAAATGCCTAATCAGCGGTACCTTACTAAGTTTCCTCCTTGGCTGTAGAATATGCAGAATGCAACCAAATTTTGGATGGTCCCGTATAATAAAAAATAACGATTATTAACTAGAATATGTATTAGAAAATTTTACTTTACATCCATGACATGTTGTGGTCATCCGTAAGAAGATATTTGAATTTTAAAAGTTTTGCATAAGATTTGGTTCAATTAAAAACAAACTTTTCTTAAATTATTTTCATTAATGTATATGTTTCTGAAAAACGCTGTAAAAGTTTTTTACTCAACCACGAACTGAAATACAAACAATTTTTCGTCCATAAGATATGAAAAAAATCACATAAACTGGATATTTTTTATCCATGCATACATATTACTGTTCGGAATAATCGTAGTTAAAAAAGTTAGAGTTATACATTAACTAATAGACCTTTTTAGTTCTTTTGTTCTTAATCGATTTCAAATAGTACCGGATTTTGTAAATACGTCAAAAGTTATTAATAATGCTTTTAAACTTTTATATAAATAGAACTGTAACAGTATACTTGTGTATATACAGGGTGGTTTTTAGTGCAATAGAGTTCATTATTTCCGTTGGTGTGTGAAGAAAAATAGTTCCATATAAAAGTTGTTGACGCATAAAGTGCGCATATTTTAAAAATATCTTATATGATACAGAGCGTTTCAGAAAAGCGAGGCAAGATCAAAGTGTATTTTTTTAAATAGAACTACCCATTTTTTAATTAGCTCATTGAATGCATCCTGAAACGTTGCATATGCACCGTAAATTGTTTTTTCTTACTTGCGACGTTGGCAGATTATCGCCATTTTAGTAAAATTTTGCTTTAAAACATGGTATCTAAAAATTCATTGTAGAAGCAAAAAAAAGCCGTTAGGGATACAAAAAAATACGTATTTCCAATCACTACAGATCCGTTAAGAATTCTATTGAACCAAACTATCAATACATTGTACAGGATGTTAACAATGTGAACTTCAATCTAAAACTTTTTAACGCAATATAACTTCTGTTTTTCAAATGTAAGTACCTGTATGTTAATACGTCATTAGATATTGCATTTACACTTTAAGCTGTGAAATCAACCGTTTTCAAATTATAATTGATTTTATTTAAAAATTTCTAAATGTTGCACACGTAACTACAGGTCAACGTGGGCAACGCCACGGGTCGCTCTCGTACAGAATTGATAACTAGGATTGCAAGTTTGGCTAATTTATTACCAAGTACTTTTCATTCATAATTATACTATTTCAACCTTCACTTATTACGGTCAAATGTGTGTCATTTATTACGGCAATAATTGTACATACATATATGTTTTTCCAAAACCTGAGTAAGGTTGCAAGCATTGTAAATTTAAATAATTTTTTAATTTCTTAAAAAAGATTACTTTTAACTGAAGTCACATTTC